GGAGGATGAATTCAGAATAGAAGTGCCTCTGATCAATGGTGTAACAGAAATCCACAGATGACATGACTGCATTCAGAATCATCTCCTAGAAAGTCTGCCCAGAGATGACTAAGACACTACAATCACCCTTCAGAAGCAACAGAGACATCTAAAGCCCCACCCCTCTTTGCCTTAGAACCAGGTGGGCTTCCAACATCTCATCTACCAAAGGGTCCATCAGTCTAGTTGTCACGAGGATGTGAATTCCGTGGAGGCAGAGACTTTGTTTGGTTTCCTGGTCTGTTCTAAGAAGGTCTGGCACGTGGTAGCTGCTCAATTCGTATTTACTGAATGAATAAACAAAAATGCCTGATCTGCTCTTGCCCCTTCTGCAAAAGCCTAATCCCATGATGCTGCTCAGTGGACACTTGAATTAAGCCTGGTCCCTCAGATGATCCTTTGGGATCTGAAACTGGAATATAAATTGGGAAGTGATTCGAAGCCAAGAGTGATCCAGGCACGGTGGCTCACACCTGTAATCTCAACACTTTGGTAGGCCAAGGTGGGCAGATCACTTGAGGTCGGGAGTTCGAAACTAGCCTGGCCAACATGGCGAAACCACATCTCTACTAAAAACACAAAAACTAGCCAGGTGTGGCAATGTACACCTGTAATCCCAGCTACTCAGGAGGCTGAGGCAGGCGAATCACTTGAACCTGGGAGGTGGAGGTTGCAGTGAGCCGAGATTGCGCCACTGCACTCCAGCCTGGGTGACAGGGTGACGCTCCGTCTCAAAGAAAAAAAAAATGTCAAGAGTGAGACAGCCACACTTATCCCAGGAGAATGGAAAAGCAAGGACAATTGATCTGCAGGGAGGGGAGGATGTAGCAAGTGCTTAGAAGGAGGCAGGGAGGAGAGAGAACGATCCTGGAGTGTGGGTGATGGTCTCGGTCTGTGCCTCTGCCATCCTGATTCCAGTCCTTTGGGAGTTGATGCTTTCTGCCCTTGGGCTCTTGTATTCTAAAAATATTTTGCTTTTTTGTGTCAGAGTTGTTGTTATCTGTATTGTTAAAATATAGAAATCTTTTAGCTTAAGTTACTTAGGTTGTTAGTTGTTTTCTTATAATAATGTCTCCTTTTTGTGTCAGATTGTTTTGAGTGGGTTTCTGTTTCTTGTGTTTTTATGATAAGTTACCCCTTTGTTTGCTTAAATTGCTCTGAGTGGTTTTTTGATTTGGAACTAGATATTTCCTAAGATTCTACCAAACTGTTTCTGCTTCTCACTTGGGAAGCTGGGTGTGGAGAAAGTCTCCTGGTCTCTCTGCCTTGGGTCAGAGGAAGGGTTAATCTCAGAGAGTAATTTCCACTGTGCTAAGCCCAACTAAGTCCAGCAACATCTCTCTATGTGGGGCTCTGGTAGGCCCCTTTCACCTCCCTAAGCAAGACCCCTGAAGCCACAGCTCCCAGGATGCTCAGACTCTCAGAGTTAGCAGAGCCCCAGATCTCTCTAAAAGACATGGACACTGATGCCTCCTGGATGCAGAGGCCAATTCTGCTTTTCCTGAGGACCCAGCCCTGCCTCCATGTGGAGGTCCTCAGTGGGCTGCTTCTCCATCTATGGTTCCCTCCAGACTCACAGGGTGTGGAATGTCTAAGTTCTTTGCCATGGACTGGTAAAGCATGTGGGACACATACATCTATCACAAATATTCATATTATAAATATCCCACACTTATTACATGTGCAAAACATTATGCTCACACTTTATATCTTCAGCAAACAGAAAAGAACATGTACTGTGTTCCCCTGGGTTAGCCCCATTCTCCCTTCCAAACAAAGGCACAGCAAATGCAATACCAATGACATAGTAGGAAAAAGGAGGTGGGATGAAAGTGGGTGGATCAAAGTACACGTCAAGTACTTATTGGCACTGGGCACTCTGCTTGGTGCTGTGTCTATTTGCTAACCCTCACAACAACTCCTTCATTTAGTGTCACTGTCCCTTTTTTGTGGATGAGGAAGCAATGCTCAGAGAAGTTAGGCAACTTGTTTCAGGCCATACAGTTATGAAGTGATGGAGCCTGCCCTATAAAGAAAGATATTGTGCATGGGAGAATATCATCAAAGCCATGGGACCTGATAGCAAAGTAGACCCATTCCAGGAAACCAAGAATCCTGGCATAGGCAGAAGCAGACCAGAGGGTAAGGCAGGGGTCCCTGGGTTCCACCAAATGGGCTACTAGACCAGAGGCCCAGGGAGAGAGTAGAGGGTGACTAATATTAGGAGGTGTGTAGTCTGGGAAGAAAAGAAGGAAGGAAGGAAGAAAGGAAGGAAGGAACTAATGAAGGATGCTTGAGGTTTTCAATAGGCACCCCCCACCCCTCAAACACACATAGTTAGCTTTATCTTGGTACTTGCACTACAGAGCCTCATAGGGTGATGCGGGATGCGTCTGTAGGCTGTGCCTCTCTTCTCCCCTCTCTCCAGTAATTGGCTGCTTGGCTGACTCAGATGGCAGCTGGGGAGGTCTTATTTCCTGGGTTATGGTTTAGATCTAAAGACCCCTCTAGATACCACCTTGGATCAACAGGCAAAAGTGGAAAAAGGATTTGAAAGTATGGCTCTCAGACCATGAATTTCCCTGGAGAAGATCTGGGGGAGAGACGGCCACAGTCAGGTAGCCATGAACAAGGTGACTGGAGAGGAAGCTGAGGGGGTTTCTACCCAGTAGCTTACTGTATCCAGGGAAGCTGAAATGAAATCATCTTATAAAAAATGAGGCTGACAGGGGTGACATTTGGGGTGAAGTTTGGAATCTCTGCCAAGAAGAACTCAGTTGGGTCAAGTCAGAGGCTTCTCTGGTAGTTGCTAAGACTTGGCTGGGGGAAACGACATCACCTGTAGTGACTCTACGTATCATGTTTGTGCAGCTTCGTCTGGGTGTCCTCAGCCGTGTGGGTGTGGGTTCAACAAAGGGTACAGTTTTGCAAGGTGTATGCACTTGGAGGCCTAGGGGGCAGGCAATTGAGGGTACTGATGAGAATATGAAGGAAGAGATGAATAATAAGAAATGGTGATGACATGGGAGTGGGGATGGTGGTGATGGGAGCAATGGAGGTCCCAGACTGGGTCTAAGTCATGGCTTCTGTTAGAATTCCAAAGTGTATGACTGTGCTGATATCAGTGTGTGGAAGAGGGTTTAGGCCCAGGAGGTTTACCAAATGGCAGGTGCCTGCAGGCAGAGAGGATGGCAGAATATCCATTCCCTAGGCCAGCCCCATGAGGCAAGAAGACTACAAGTAAAACATTCTCCATTTTGCGCACCAGTCTTCTAGAACTGTACCTGGCAAACAGGAGATAATCGAGAACTATGAGGAGTTCAATGAGTTGATGGATACGGAGCACTTAGGATGGTGCTGGCAGCGGGCAAACACTAAGTCTGCCATTGTTCTAATTAGTGTTATGTGAGCTTATGTGAGATATTCCCAGGGGTGGCTGGAAATATTTAATTAGGGGACACTTTAAAAGGTATCTGAGGTCCTATGTTATGCAAGTGGGGAACATGAGCCAGAAAATTTTTAATTTTAACTGGTAATGTGACCCCATTTGTATGCTTAGGCTGATGAGGCCTGGGTGAACCTGGGTTATAGTTACAATAACAAAATCTATCATTCCCAGAGCATCTGTAGAGTGTTTAGTATATATGGAGCATTATACATATATATATACACACACACACATATATATTATATATATATAAAATATGCATGTATAAAATAGCTTTTAATCTTAACCTCCTGCAACATAATTATTACTAGCAACACTTTGTAGATGACGTTCCAAGAGATAATAACTTGCCCAGCTCACAAATCAAGCAAGGAAGGGAGCTGGGATTTAGATAATGGGATTTGAGATAATTAGGGAAGACTAAAAGGTCAAAAAGAGATAATAGCGTAGAAGACCGTGGAGTGCTCGAGAGCCTGGAACTCCTCTTACTACACGAATAATATTTGAACATTACAGAATGCGTGATATGTGCCAGGAACTGTACCACGGACTTTCATGCATGCACTCACTGATCTTTCCATCACTATGAAGCAGGAATTTTCCTACCATGGTTTTATAAAAGAAGAAATGCCTGAGGCTTCAAGAGGTTCAATACTTTATCCAAGGTCACGCACATGTTAAGTCGTAAACATGAACTTTCAATCCAATTAATTTGACAGTCAATGCTCTCAACCGGGCAGGGACAGCCTGTTTTTGTAAGTGAATTTTTCTTAGAATGCAGTCACGCTCATTTGTTTATGTCTGTGGCTGCTTTAGCACTACAGTAGTAGGGCTGAGTAGTTGTGATAGGTAAACCTACAATATTTACTATTTTTAAGAGAAAAATTTCTGACTCTTACTTTCGACCACACTATTGAACTTGCCTTAATTAGCACAGCTGGAAGGATGAACAAATGTGATCAGGAGGTATCAGACAGTGACCAATCTATGACGAGGTGTCAGAGTATGGCCAAGGAGTGTCCTTGGGACACAGGTCTAAGCACCGTGACCCTAGGATTAGATGGGCTGTCCATGGGGATGTTGAAGTTACCCAGGATGGTGAAAAGCTCTGGGTGGAGAGGAAGATTGAGCCTCATATCAGAACCCTCTTTAGTGAAGTGCAGTACCCAGGAAGATATCAGCTGATAGCTATGAAGTGAGGGTATGAGGCTGAAGTAGACTTAGGAATGACCCTCATTAAAAAAGAGGAGAAGAAGAGTAGTGGTTGGAAATAGATGGGGTGCAAAAAGAATGTTGGTCCCCTTTTTTCCCACCCCTGGAGAATACAGGCGTGAAAGACTAAGCCATCTGGGGGGCCTCAGGAAAGGAAGGTTTTTTGCAGGCGGCAGCAGTGCTAGGGTTGATGTGGGTTTGCCGTGGTCCAGCCCAGGCTCTCTTCACTACGCTACACTACTTGCCCTCTGCCATGTTGGCTGGACCTATCCTCAGTACTCTCTGGCACCAGGGCCCTTACCTGTATAGTCAATGACGAAGCCAGCATTGCTCACAGATGCATCGCTGCGGAAGGCGAGGAAGAGGCTGTTGCTGCTGCTTTCAATGCGGCCTGGGAGCTGGGAGCCATAGAAGCTTCCTATGAGAGGGCTGAGAGAGTCCCGTCCGTCGTAGATATGGAGGAAGTCATAGCCAGGTTCCAAGTTAAAGCTGGGGAACAAAAACATCCCACCCCCACCCCACTAACGTCAAATAAAGGCTTTTGCTGGGGTCTTAGGCTCAACCAAAGCATGGGGCCTCCCGGGGAGCAAGCCCACCATCCCACTGGTACCCAACCCCTGAAGACTGGCTGGTGGGAAGGGAGAAGATGAGGCCCTGATGACCTCAGTCAGGTGAGAAGATGGAAGAGGCAGGCTCAGGGGCAGAGGAGCCAGATTCCAGTCAGTGTCCAAAAATCTGGAGCTGAAAACCTAACGTCCTCCTTATACAGAAGGGAAAATGAGTTGCCAACTCTAGACACCAAGTTGTCAACCAAAGTAGGTCCAAAACCCAGGTCTCTTACCTGACACTAATGTCCTTATACTGTGCTGTTCTGAACCTCATTTTCTAAGAGAGAATGAACCAACTAGGGAGCCATTCTCAGGGAGGAAGGGGCCTGTTACCATGAAGGACCCTAGCTTCATGCCTTCATCCCAAGCCAGTACTCCAGCTCTCCTCAGGGTCTGCTGTTGCCCCACTCCTAGGACCCACAAATGTCCTCACCCTTAGCTATTCTGACCCTGGTGTGAGGGAAAAGTCCATTTTAAAAACTTAGATGAGCAAATTGAATATTTGAGTTCATGAATGTAATTTATCCCACTGGAATGGCTCAAGTGAAAATGATGGAAAATGCATATTATGAAAAAATTATGCATGGAGTTCAAAAGTTTTTTGTATCAAAATCAACTCACACTAACTTGTTAACATGTCTGCACAGGATCTAACGTGAGGCATTAAAAAGGACCAGATATCAGCTTAACAAAAGCCTCTATCAGAGCAACATGAATTCTGCTAAAATTGAAGCAAGAAAAAACATCAAATTTATGGTGATGCTTGGGTAGAAGGACGGTGACGTCGCTGATGCTTTACAAAAGGTTTATGAGGACAATGCCCCAAAGAAATCAGCAGTTTACAAATGGATAACTTGTTTCAAGTAGGGAGGGGATGATAATGAAGATGAAGCCTGCCAAGGCGGATCTCCACATCAATTGGAGAGGAAAACAATTAATCTTGTTTGTGTCCTAATTGAATAGGACCAATAATTAATAGCACAAATGAGAGCTAACACCATAGACATCTTGACTGGTTCAGATTACACAATTTTGACTAAAAAATTAAAGTTGACCAAATTTCTACTTGATGGGTGTCAAAACCATTGTGCCTAGGTCAGCTACAGACAAAGGCAGAGCTTTCAATGGAAATTTAAAAAATGTGGGATCAAGATCCTGAAACATTTCTCCCAAGAACAGGAGATGGAACATGGATTTACCAGTACAATCTTGAAGACAAAGCACAATCAAAGCAATGGCTACCAGGGAATGGAAGTGTCCAGTCGAAGCAAAAGTGGAGCAAAGGTCAAGGTATTTTTTTTTTTTTTTTTTGATGCTTCAGGCATTTTGCAGTTGATTTTCTGAAGGGCCAAAGAATGATAACATCTGCTTCTTAGGAGTTTGTTTTGAGAAAGTTAGCTAAAGCTTTAGCAGAAAAATGCTTCAGGAGAGAGTCCTTCTTCCTGACAACAATGCTCCTGATCATTTCTCTCATCAAACAAGGGTAATTTTTCAAGAGTTTCAATGGGAAATCATTAGGCATCCACTTTACAGTCCTGATTTGGCTCCTTCTTATTGCTTTTTGTTTCCTAATCTTAAAACATCTTTAAAGGGCACCCATTTTTTCTTCGGTTAACAAAGTAAAAAAGACTACACTGACATAGTTAAATTACCAGGACCCTCAGTTCTTCAGGGATGGACAAAATTACTGGTATTGTTGTTTACAAAAGTGTCCTGAACTTGGTGGAGTTTATGTTGAGTAATAAAGTTTATATTTTTTATTTTTATCTTAAATTCAATTTTTCCACAAACTTTTTGAAGTCCCCCGTATGCTTGCGCTCTGGTGCAGCAATTCCACTCTTAAGTATATATCTAACAAAGGCAATTGATACCAATCAAGTGTGCAAAGATGAAAACAATAGAAAAGTAAATGAGCTTGCAGAGAATAGATTTCAGATGCAAATTTGCTCATGCCCAGTCACGGACTGGGATACTCAGATACAGCAAGTCCTTAGCATTGTCCACAGGCTCTCAGAAACCATGACTTTAAGTGAAATGACATAAAACAAAACCAACTGTTTGTTTCTCATCAACACACAGGCTGGGCACGGTGGCTCATGTCTGTAATCCCAGCATTTTGGGAGGCCAAGGTGGGCAGATCACTTGAGGCCAGGAGTTCGAGACCAGCCTGGCCAAAATGGCGAAACCCTGTCTCTACTAAAAATACAAAAATTAGCTGGGTGTGGTGGCATGCACCTGTAATCCCAGCTACTCGGGAGGCTGAGGCATGAGAACTGCTTGAACTCGGGAGGGAGAGGTTGTGTGAGCCAAGATTATGCCACTGTACTCCAGCCTGGGTAACAGAATGAAACTCTGTCTCAGAAACCAAACCAAACCAAACAAAACAAAACAATATAATGAAATGACATTGAAGGAAACATTTGAGGACCTGCTGTACTTTGTTTTACTTAAAGTCACAGTTTCCAAGAACCTGTTGATGACATTGAGGACTTACTGTATTCTATTTGAGATTGAGAGTAAAATGACTGCTCTACCCTTTGGCTAAGATATATAGCAGGGGGAGGAGGCCATGCATCTCTAGGACAAAGGAGATAAGGCAGGCTAAGAGACAGGATGGAGGAATGGGAGGCAGGGGGCGCAGAGCCAGATGTGCACTGGCCTCCTTCCCACCTGGCACCCTGTCACACTGGTGTCAGTTGCAGGCTCACCACATCACTGCTGGGTGACATGGTCTTCTTGCCCCTGTAATTCAGCTTCTTGACATCTGCTTTTATGAAAGTCACCAGTGAAGGGTTTTGGAGGGAGTCAGTCTTGGTTACAAATGATGGCATCACCACTTCCTAACTAACTGCCTTCTTTCTGTCCCTCCCTTCCTTCCATCATCAAATTTTGAGCACCCTCGATATTCCACGTACTGTGCAAGGTGCCAAGGACATGGGGACATGTCAGACACCACTTCTGCCTTCAAAAATTGATGGTGCTGTAGGAAGTGACAGACATGTCAACAACAAAACAATGTATAAAGTCAGCCCAAGGCAGAGCAGAAACACAAAGCAAGGTTCCTTGGGGAGGATAAAAAATCAAACGTTTATGGAGGAAATCAAGCCTGAACTGAGTCTTGGGAGATGAGAAGACCCTTAGAGATAGGACAAGGAGAGAACAGGAAGTTGCTGTGAAGGCAGAAACAGAGGCAAAGTCATAAGGGCATGAAAGAATCCAAGAGGCCCTGGAACTGCAAGGAGTTCCATCTGGCTGGAGCTCAGGGCTTAGGATGGGGTGGGCTTAGGATGGGGTCGGGGGGCTGACTGGAGAGTTAGGCAGAGACCAGATTGTTTGGAATGAAACTCCAAAGTTCGGGCCTTTATTTATAAGCAATAGAGGACCATGTTAGGATTTAAAAATAAAGGATCTGTTTGTTTCTTTGTTTTTGAATTGAGGTATGATTTACACCGTGTGAAATGATCAGCTCTAAGGTGTGCCACTCTATCAGTTTTGACACATGCATATCAAGATCCAGAACTGTCCCACCACCCCAGAGAGTTCCAAGTGCCCCTTCCCATTCAACCTTCCCTACCCTCAGATGCCAGCACTGATCAGAATTCTTCACCAGGGATTAGTTTTGCTGATCTTACAATTTTATACGAGTTGAATCATACATTATGTACTTTTTTATGTCTGTCTTCTTTCACTCAGCATAATATTTTTGGGACTCATCCACGTTGTTGCATGTATCAGTAGTTCATTCTTTTTTATTGCTGAGCACTGTCATTAGAGGATGTTAAAATGGAAAGTAGGGTGGTTATTTCAGCATTTTTGAGTGACACGATCACTCTGACAGCTAGCTAGGGGAGAGATTGGCATGGGAGGCAAGATGGGGCAGAGGAACCAGCTAGGCGATGAGGGCAGTAATTCAGATGGGAGATGATAGGACTCAAACCAGGACAGGAGCTGGGAGGATGGAGAAGAGGAAAATACATGAGGAGAGTGAAGGCGGTAGAGGCTGCACGCCTCGGTTGCTGCTAGTGGAAGAAGCCGTGAGAGCAGGTGTCAACGCCAGCCCCAAGGCTCAGAACAGAGCTCTTCTGGGGGAGAAAAATATGCTTGATTTTGTACACGCTCATTTGCAGTGTCTGCAGGCCGCAGACAGAGATGTCCAACAGCTGGAGAGTGAGGCTGACGCTCAGAATAAAGCCAGGGTGGGCGGCAGAATGGAGTCTTCCATTTATAAGAGGAGAGTGGAGACACAGGAATGAATGAACTTGTTCAGGAAAGGGGTGTAGGGTAAGAAGAGGAGGTCTGACAAAGCCCGGCAAAGGAAGATGGGTTAACAAGAGGTCCACGTGACGTCACAGAAGAGCTTGGAGAACTGGAAAGAGTAACTTCATGCAAACCAAGTGAAAAAGCAGCCTAAGGATGGAAAGGGTGACCAAGAGGTGGAGTGGGATAAAACATGGAAAGGCCTTTTGTTTGGAACCAGGAGTTTGTGGGTGGCTTTTATCAGAGGAGTTTCCAGTAGAACCGTGGAGGCAGAAACCAGGTTCCAGCGGGTTGAGAGTGAATGGGAGGTGAGGAAGTAGACGAAGGCAGAGCAGTTCTTTTGAAGAGCTTTCCTGTAGCAGGAATGGGAGAGCAAGTGCAGGTACTAGATGCGGAGGTGCCTGGGACCCAAGCCCGCCCGTTTACACCTCTGGGGTGGGGTGGAAGGGGCCAGGGAAGCAGACTGGGAATGCAGAGGGCAGGGCAAGGGCGTCCAACAAAGGCCTCCTTTCCGAGTCCCAGTATCTTCAGAGGTAAAGAGGAAATAATAATTGCTTCCTCACAGATTACTACAAGGATTAGATGTGATGATATGCATGAGACCACTGAGCGCGGTGCCTGGCACATAGATGTTCAATAAATGCTAGTTTCTCTCTCTCGGCTTTTTCACCTCCCATGGAGCTGAGAACTCTGCTCACACACCTGTGAATACTCACCTGGAGACCCAGGTCCCAGAGCCCCTAGCTGCTCTGAACCCTTCGTCTCCCACCCGGGGGAAAGGTACATACATGTTAAATACCAGGGCGATGACGTAGTCTGGCGAGACGGTCACTTTCCAGTCACACTCCTTCCCTGGTGGGTAGGGTTCTGGGTAATTTGGTGAGAGGATGACTCCAGATGGTCCTGTCAGGTCTCCCCCGCAGGGAGCTGAGGAGAGAAGAAGACGAGGGTGAGGCTGCCTCTTCACCCTGGGCCCATTTTCATGGGCGTTGCTAATACACTATCGAGAGAGGAGGGGCTGAAGCTGACAGGCTGAAGTTAAACCTGGCTTAGGGACTCAGGGGAAGGTGAAATGATGGAGTTCTACTTTAGAGGGGTGGGAATGTTTTGGAAATAGTGGTGGTGGTGCACAACGTTTCGAAAGTACCAGATGCCACTGAACTGTTCATTGAAAAACGGGTAATTTTATGTTAGGTGCATTTCACCTCAATAAATTATTTTTTAAAATACCTGGCCCTGTTGCTTCCTAGCAACAGAGTTCCTGTGAACTTAGGGAACTCATCTAGCCTCTCTGGCCCTTGATGTCTTTCCTGTCATAAAAAGAGACAATATCTTCTTTGTGGGGTGGTTGTAAAGATTATGGGAGATGTCTGCTAAAGCATTTGGTAGAGAGTGAATGCTTGATAGATGGAGCCGGCACTGTCTGCGCACCTATGAAGTACATGGCCTTCCTTCACTGCCTCACATCGGCTTCCAGGCGAGCTTTGTGGGTACTGACTGTGAGTTCCTGTGCACTGGATGTCAGGAGGAGTGGGAAACAGGCTCATGTTCGCCTGCCAAGCGCAGCTGGTCTCCTACGCTACCAGTGCTCCTGGCATCTGCTCGCGGCTGCAGATACCTTCCAACTTTCCAAAAGGCCTTGTCCAAGAGTATGTGTGTACCTCAGTTGTATGGAGCTATTATTAATCCCCAATCAGTCTACATGGTCGCCCTCCCCTGAGATGACAGGTCTCTCAAGCAGGTGGGGAGGGAGAAAGTGGCCAGGTAACACAGCAACCTATTTACCTCGGGACCTTCTGGGCAGCTTCCCCAGAGCCTGGCTCAGGTCTCTTCCTCCATGGCTGGGGCTGCTGTACCGTGGCTTGAGGACTGGATAGAGTAAAAGCTGGGAAGTGTGTGAGGTCATTAGCAGGATGGCCAAGACTATAGGTGTGGTTTGGTCTGGAAACCACAGGGCACCATCAGAGGTTGTAAACACTGAGCCCATAGGAACACAGAGAGCCATTTAGGGGCTGGCTAGAAAATCCAAGATGAGTCTTTGTGGGGAGAGCAAAAGGGTATACCTGACTCCAAAGTTGGGAACAGCCATCTGCTTGTCATAGAGCTGAGCACTGCTGCTTTGGCTGTGTCGTGGAGCCACCTCCGGCTGTGGGTTTTACTCAGGGTGAGGCTTAAAGGGCTGGGTCAATCCCTAACAGGGTCTCAAACAAATGGTAGATCTTCAGGTCAGGCCACAAGAGCCCTAATGTGGCTGAACATAACATTGGAGTGGTTGTGAGTAGTCTGCTTTTTGTTCCATGGGAAAATATATCCCAAGAACCATCCTGAGTTTCAGAAACACTCCAATAGGCATCTATTACGTATCAGACTTAACAAATCACATTTTAGATGCACTATCTCATTTATGTCTCATTAACAACTCAACGAGCAATGGATTATGCTTCCTGATTTATAAAGGAGGAAAGTGAGTCTCAGAAAGCCTAAGTAACTTGCCCAGAGTCACTCTGAGACTCAGACTCACACAGGACTGGCTCCAAAGTCTGTTGTTTTCCCCTCTTCTACTTCCATATGGTTGGTGGCAGTAACCAGAGTAGAAGAGGAGTGCTTGTCCCCACAGGCCAGCAGGGGAGAGCACAGCTGTTGCAGGAGCTTCTGAGCGAGGATGGTGCCTTAAGTTGGGTCTGCTTATGTCTCACTTGTGTCTCCACCACTGAATCCTTTGGGAGCAGAGGGCGAGATGAATAGGGCCAACCAGAGGCCAGTACAATCAGGCTAGACCCTGGAGCTTAACAAAGCAAGACTGTAATGTCCAGTCCATGGAGTGTGGCCTTGCCCAGGCCAGCCTAGAAACAGAGCCTGATATGGCCAGTGAGATTGGAAAGTGAGTGTCGTTATCAGAAGTCCCAACTCTGGGGAAATCTTCCCAAGGGGCACAACAAGGCTTCCATTCTGGGTTCCCAGCCTCCACCTCCCTCTGCCAGCTCAGGGGCTTCTTCCCTTAAGTTTGCCACAGATGGGGTGAGTCTCTGCATTTCTGAAACTGCACCTGTTACTCTCCCACCAACCCCCAAAGTACTGTCAGTGTCTCTGGGTTCTAGGCTGCTGTCTGAGCACAGCTCTCTTCTAGATGGCTCCATGTCATCGGGCATGTGCTTCCCACTCAGAACCCCAGCATGGGCTTCACTGGCTGCTGCCAGTTGTGCCCCAAGGCCTTGCATGGATCCCTGGGCTGCCTCACCAACAGGAAGGCTCCCACTGCTCAGGGTTAGTTGTGGGGTCCTATTGAGCTTACTAAAACATGGTTGCCCAGATGGGAGTGGGTGCAAGCTGCAGATCCTTCTAGACAGCCAAGAAGTGGGCAGGTTGGACTGAGGGCAAGAGTTGTGGAAAGGGCATTGATTTGGAAGTCATACAATCCTGGGCTCGAATTCTGACAATGCCACTCATTGGCTGTGTGAGTTTGGGCTAACTGTCCACCCCTCTGAGCCTCTACTTCCTCATCTCGAAAGTAAAAGAATAATGATAATAATGGCTTCTAATATACACAGTGCTAACTATGAGCCACATACAGTTCTTATTGCTTTATAGTATTTTCTTTTTTAATTCTCAAAACAATGCTAGAAGGTAAGTACTATCATTTTCTCTATTTTACTGGCAAGGAAATGAAGGCACAGGGAAGTTGAGCAATTTGTCTAAGGCCACACAGCTTGCTGTGGTGAAGCCAGACCTGAGGCAGGGAGTGGAATCCCGAGCTCTAACCTCACCACAGAGTGACTTCAGCTGCAATAATGCAGCTAAAATGTTTAACTTGGTGCCGATCACGGGGACAGCATCCAATGAGTATTTGTTTTCTTCCTTTGCTTCCTCCCTGTAATGAAGGGTTATCAAGGCCAGCTAGACCCGCTCATGGCAGAACGCCCAGGGAGCTGGAAATTAGAAGCATGTCACTGGGATTTCCAGTTCGTTTGAGAGAAGAGGCAAAGGCATTTATTTTGTTGCCTGAGAAACATTTCCCAAAGCCGAGTGTAGAAGAACGGGTGATGAAAACTGAATTAACCTCTCCACCCTGCCCACTGCACATTTATTGCTCTCCTCAGCTTAGCACAATCCTCCTCCTCCACTTGGGACAATCTCATCTCAGGACCTGCTTTTCTGTAAAATGAGTCTAAGGAATCACAGCCTTGTAGAAGGCTGAATTTGGAAGGAGCCTCAGAGGTTCCCAGATTCTCTCCTGGGCCTCAGCGGAATTCCCTTAGCAGATGGAATCTTGGCTTAGGGAAGGGAAGTGAGTCTGAAGATTTGAAAGAAGGATTCAAAGAAGTGAAAGATGAAAAGAAGGAAGGAAGATAGAAAGGAAGGAAATTAGTATTTCTTGAGATTGGGGTTAGGCATGTCCTCACCCCACAATGCCATAAGGGAAGTGTATTTACCCTCACGGATGAGGAAACCCAGGCTCAGAGAGTTGAAGCAATTTCCCAAGGTCATCAAAGTAGTAAATGGCAGAGCTAGAAACTAAATCTGATTGTGTCTACTTCAATATCCCATACTGTTCCCTACACAGCAGAATACGTAGTGAAGAACTCAGCTGGATCTGAAACTGGGGTCTCAACTTCCTGCCCCACACACCTATGTGGCTCCTAATTCCCACTGAGGAGCGGGATTTAGTGTCTCACCTTCAGGGCCAGGCCTCAGAGCCAGGCCTGGAATAGGCCAGTCCTCAGATGCCTGGACAGTGCACTGCTTCCCATTAAGCCTGCGGGTGCAGGCCAGGGCAGACGCTCCTGCAGGAGCTGTCTCAGGAAGTCCCTCGCACCTATCTCCAGCAGGGGAGGCGGTGTGGGAGGTAGGAAAATGAGAGGCTTTGCATTCAGACTGGCGTGGGTGTAAATCTTGGCTCTGCTATATCCTAGCTCTGTGATTTGGGACAAGATATCCAAATTTGTCTAAGTTTCAGTTTCAAGTGTAAATGAGGAAATGGTGCTAATTTCAGAGAGCTGCCGGGAAAGTTAAATGAGGTTATCTAAGTAAACGTCCAGTATGGGGCAAGTACACAGTAAGGACTCAGTGACCATGGGTTCTCTTCTCTTCTAACAGCCAGCATTGACAGGGGAGATAAACACTCATTATTTCACCTGAGCAAAATAGCCATGTGGAAGTGGGCACCTGGAGTGTTTGTTTCTATTTACCTTTCTTTCCCATCCCAGCCTCCCTTCAAGTTCCCTTCTCCTCTCAGTCTCAAGTAGTTAGAGGTAGGATTTTTCAGGCCCCACCCCTTTTAAGTGATGGGACCTTAGACAAGTCTCAGGTCCTTTATGTCTTCATCTCTCATACAGGAAGGTTTTAAGTCCGAAGAAAGGAAACCCTGTAATCCCAGCATTTGGGAGGCCAAGGTAGGAGGATCACTTGAGCCCAGGAATTCGAGACCAGCCTAGGCAACATAGTGAGACTCCATCTCAACAACAACAACAAAAATACAAAAATTTGCTGGGTGTGATGGCGCAGGCCTGCAGGCCCAGCTACTTGGGAGGCTGAGGTGGGAGGATCACTTGAGCCCAGGAGGTCAAGGCGGCAGTGAGTTGTGACAGTGCCACTTGCACTCCAGTGAGACCTTGTCTCTAAGACCGAAAAGAACCAAAAGCCAGGTAACCAATAATTTCCTTGAGAACAGGAAAAGCAAGGTTGTTTTCTTTACATTCTGAGCCTGTGGGTGCCCTTCTATTGCTTCAGGTAATAGAAGGGTCATTTTGGAACCTGTTAGCCTTTACTATCCAAGATGACCCATTCCTCCTCCTGACCTATGCAGCCTGGGCCAGAGAGAAAGGGACAGACTTGTCTGACTTGGAAATCTCTGGGACCATTTTAGCAAGTGAGGAATTTGTAGTGCTTTGTGTGTAGAGTGTGAATGTGAGTGAGTGCGTGTGGGGACACATGCAGGCAAAGCAGGGTAGATGATGGGCTTTCTGCAACTTTCATCTGTTTCAATTCTCTTGGCCCCAGGCCCAAGATGCAGCTGCAGAGCATGGAAGGTTCTGGAGCACACAACTGTGAGCCCCAAGGGCAGAGTGCACCCTGCAGCTGCTTTGTACCGATGCATGTTGGCGGGCTGGGCTGCCAGAAGAACCTGTTCTCGATCTTCACACAGCTGATCTCTGCACTTCCCTGCAGTGCGTAACCAGGGTCACACTGGAACACCGTGGAGTCGCCGGCTTCCCAACTGTCACCACTCCGGCTCCCATTCTGCGGGATCCCAGGGTCATTGCAGGACGTTGCTGTGGACACTGGGGCAAGGAAATAGAAGAGAGGGTAAGGTTGCCTGGGTGTCTGCCACTCAGGAGGCTCCCAGCTCATCACCCTCCCTGACTGCCCCATTCGTGCACTGCCACAACCAGCATCACCTCCTGACCATCAGCAGCAGCTGTGGCCACAGTGCCACTATTCTCACTCCCGTTACTATCACTGCCTCTACCACCACTTGTGATCACATTTGTCACTCTCACTGATATCACCACCACCATTCTTCCAGTACTTCACCATTACTGTCATCTGCCTGTCATGAGATGCTATGAGTTAAGCATGATTGTACTGTTATAATTATAGATCTGAATTCAGCTTAAGAATACAAGCATTGTTACACAAACAAAGCATTGCAAGTTTGTATAACGTAACTAACATGATCAGAAGGAGGAAGTGACAAGATAATCAAGTCTAAACTCCATGTGGCTCACGCTTGTAATCCTAGCACTTTGGGAAGTCAAGGCAGGAGGGTCACTTGAGGTCAGGAGCTGGAGACCAGCCTGAGCAACACAGCAAGACCCTGACTCTACAAAAAAATTAAAAAATTAGCTGGGTGTGGTGGTGGTTGCCTGTTGTCCTAGCTACTCTGGAGGCTGAGGTGGGAGGATCCTTTAAGCCCAGGAGTTTAAGGCTGCAGTGAGCTATGATCATGTCACTGCACTCGAGTGTGGGCGACAGAGTAAGATCTCATCTCACAAACAAACGAACAAACAAACACATAAACTCCATATATTCAATTGGAAGGGTTTGCAAAGGACTTTAGGAGTTGGCCTGCCTAAATGCTGAGCAGCGCTTGTGAGGTTACAGGACGTTACTGAAGTTAGGTCAAGATCATGCTCTCTCTTGCAATGGCAGACAACCAAGGATCCATCAGACTGAAACCATATTTGAAGAAAAGTCAGATATTTGTAGCAAGTGGGCAGAGAAGAGTTCAAAAATAGCTGAGATATATTAAAAATCCAAAATACTCAGGAATTTGGGAGATCTTCATATCTAGTATCTAACCTAGTTTAACATAGAGCAGGTGTTTTTAAGTGAATACTGAATGAATGCTAGATGGAAAGAATACATAAATAGAAGAATGAGTGGGTGAATGAATGAACAAATGTGGCATGAGAAAACACACCAGAGGAACAGGTGCAAGAGTTAGTCCAGAAAAAGGAATCTCAAGAGTTGGAACAACCCTGGCTGCCTCCACGGCCCAGAGCTAACAGCGGGGCCTGGTCCCAGTCCCCAGCTATGTCATCCCTCATAGACTGTGCTCAGCAGACTCTAGGGCAAGGAGGTTCTTGAAACCACAAGATAAATAATACTCATTTGATTGGAATGTCAGTTTTCTCAACATTTTAAGGAAAAACTACTTTTATACCAAAACAAAAGAATTTATTCTGGATTACAAGGTAAAATTCACATTAGTTTTTAAGCAAAAATGTGAAGCCTTAAAGATATTTTGTGCTTGCTACACCCTCCAGACCTCCTGGGGATACACACCCATCCTCTTCTGCTATCAGGAGGACGTCAATGGAAAAGTTTGAGAAGCAGCAGCCTAGGGCAACTGTATACACTGATATCACTAATTATAACCTCTAGGATTGTATACGAGTCTTGAGTTACACAATCTGATACCTTCTATTCAATAACACGTAAAGAAGCATACAGCAAACTATGGCCCACAGCCATATCTGGGCCTATGCCTATTTTTGTAAATAAAGTTTTACTGGAACACAGGCACACTCATTTGTTTACATATCAACATCTGACAGCTACTGAACTTATTTATAAAGTCAAACATGCATCAATCTTTTTCCTTCCCAGTTAAAATCAGACTTAGCTTTCATCTCTAGCTTTATAGTGCACTGTACACATGTAAATAATCTCCTAGAAGAAAAATAGCTCATTGTTCTGGCCATACTTGGAAGGATTATTTATATGGGAGGGAATAGAGTACAATGATTAAGAGCTTAGGTTTAAGACTCACACACATGGGTTTTGCTATTAACTGGATGACCTTGTATGAGAAGCCTCAGAGCCCACATCTGCAACATGGAGTAATAATGGTGCCCATACTGTAAGGGTCTTGTGAAAATTATAAGAGTTGATGTAGTGGAGAGCTTAATGTGGCACCTACTCAATAGATGGCTGCGATTATGCTTCCCGCTCACCTTTTTTTTTCTGTTCTCACTTTCTCTCTTTAATGCTCCTGAATTGGAGCTGCTTGGCGAAGCACCTGGGGAAAGGCTGGATCCACGTGGTACAGACAGGATGTTAGATGTTACACAGTCATGTTTACTTAATAAAGCCAAGCCTGCACTAATCGTCCCTGGCATTTCTGTACAATCCCCTGTCAAATACACACTATAAAGTTAACATGGGGTGAGACGTTCTCTCTTCCCTAGAGTAGTCCTGGTATTTGCTAACTGATGACAGCAACAGGGAAGGTGACCTTTCCCAAACCTTGGTTATGTCCATAACACTGGGCCATGCTGTCATGACCTTTCTGGAGCCCAAACTAGGTAGCTTTGACCATGCTACTCTGCCTAAGCAATGCTAAGGGCAGCTTGCCCAAGGAAACTCTTATATTAGAGAAAACCATCCATTCATGTGTTCATATCTTCATGTGCCCATTTGCTTACTAAGCAGTGAGTGGGCACCTATTGTATACATACACTATGAGAGAGTCGGGAGGCGTGGTATGACCCTGTCTTCTAAGAGCTTTTAGTGGGATGTCAAGTACGTGCCCAGCTTCAAGACGAGACAGAATGCCTGGTATTGACAATGTGCTGAATAAATAGAAGTAAAGTGCCGGGGTGCTGTGGGCTACAGCAATTTTACTCTGAATGGGGAGATTAGGAGGCAGTGGCATCTGAGATGAACCTTGAAGGATGAATAGGACTTCTAGGAGCTGGGCAGTGCATGGGAAAGCAGCCTGCATACAGCATAGGAGAGCACCCAGGGACTCTGTCCCACGTGGCTACACTGAGGACGCAGTGGAGGTCAGATAATGCAAATCTGTGAGGGAATTTGTCAGCATAATTATGGACTTTTTTTTTTATTTTTTTAAGCCGTACCCATCAGCTTGGGCACAGTTGGAGAAAATATGTCTGGTTTTAATTATGCATAATACTCCTTTCCCCAGAGAGTGGATTGAGCCATCTCTTTAGCATTCTACCCTCCTTACTGCTAGGAGATCCTTCCATTGCTTATCCCAGCAATTTCCCAAGTTTGTTCCACGAAACGTTAGTCTCTTGAGATGGCCTTGAAAAAAGTCATCCATGATGGAATATGTTTGGAAATTGTGACCTACCAGACATCTTTTGAATTTAAGTGCATTAGTATAGCAAACGTTCTCAGAGGTCCCATATTGCAGAACATTTCCTTAGGTCTGCATCAGCCTGAGCACCTCCCCAGCATCACTTGATCATGCAAACTTCTTTTTCCTTGCAATATCAATTAGTATTCCATGGAACTCTTAGGAATAGACAGAAAATGCTAGACTGGAAGCATGCATGAGTGTTAAATGAACAAATTAATAAGTATTAAGCAATGTGATGCCGGAGACTCTCATCTGCTCCCCACGCTGCTAAATGCTCATTTTCACGGAGATGACAGACGTAGAAGAAAAGAGCTAGAAGCAGGATTTGCAACTCTGTAACAATCTCAGTGGTGCCAGGGATATACCCCAACCACCCTTAGCTGATACACCAACTGGGAAAGAGCTCGGGGGCAAAGCCGTGGCACAGGTGCCATAAGAAATCGCTCTGGAATCACCATGGAAACTCCCCCCTCCCTCCCACCACACACACGGTGGAGTAAGGAGATGGTAATGAAGACAGCTGCTGTATAATAAACACGAGCAGAAACCGAGGCAGAGTCACTTGTTCAGGGAGAGGAATGATGGAAGAGGCACTTCAGAGGAGATGAGATGATGCATTCCAGGGAGAGGCAGGACCAGTCATATAAATTATCTCATACTGGGATTTGGATGTTTGAGCATTGGCCATTTTGGGTAGCTCTTTGTCATGCTCCTCCATAATTGGCTATTGCAGTGCCTAATTAATAAAACGTAGATGACTCATGTTGGCTTCCAGTCTTTGCTGAAACCTGCACTCAACTAAGAACCCGAGCGTGCAGCATGTCCCATCAGCTCATTCATAACCGTGCCCCAAGCCACCATCTACTTGTACCTCCTACATCCCTCTTCATTCCCTGCGCTTCAGTCACATGGGGTAGCCCTCCACTTCCGGAACCCACATTCCTGCATCTACACTTGTTCATGTGTTCTTTGCACCTAAGATGCCCTTTTCTCTGTTTTCCATGTAATAGGGATGCACAAGTCCTCTAAAGTCCATTTCAGTGGCACCTTTCCTTGTCATAGATGACTACTTGCTCCTTGAAACACTTTCTTTTCTTGAGTAACTTCTGCTTGTCCTTCGGGTCTGAGCTTGGACATCATCTTTTCTGGAACATCTTCCTTGATGCTCCAAGGTGACCATTATAGTCCGTATGTCTCCATCCAGATGCTTATCTATTTGCACGTAAGTGTCTATTAACCCACCCGTCTTCCCTACCAGAGTGAGCTCAGCACAGACATTTGAACAGGTGCTAACTATGTACCAGGCACATAGCAGATGCTCAATAACTATCCTTACATGGACTGAGGGGTGAAGGAAAGCGAGGGCCAGAGGGAGGTGGGTGCCATGTGTCAGGATATGTGGAGTGGGGCTGGCAGAGGGCACGCACAGACCTGAGAATTGAATGGCAAAGCCCTGCTTGCTGGTGAAGAAGTCAGTGCTGAACTGCAGGACGACCGAGTTGAAGGTGCTGTGCAGGTCCTTGGGCAGGGCTGGGCCACTCAGCTCCTTCAGCAGAACCCCGCTCTCCACAGGCCCATCCCAGATGCGCAGCACGTCGTGAACCTCCTCTGTGTCAAACACCAGGAAGTGTAGCCTGCATGGAGAGAAGAGGCAGCGGTCATCTGGGCTCAGCCCCTTCTTTCCAGGGGCTTCTGGTCAGAAGGTTGTAAACCTACGAAGCCTGGCCCTAAACCTACAAAGCCCTAAACCTATGAAGCCCAGCAGGAAGGGAGAGAAGGCAGCGTCTGGCAGCATCCTTATGATTTCACCAGGCCAGCTCCTCCCAATGGGGCCTCCAGCAATGGGTGCAAGAGTGAGAAGTGTAGCTTCTGTGCATCCTTTTCTTATTATGAGCTCCATGTTGCCATTGTCAGACTGCATCCCTGTCCTCAACCTTACATAGCCCACAGACCTCTCCCTGAGCCCATATTGTTACCATTCTAGGTTGGGAGGGGAATACTGAGAAGGCAGGATCTGGCTTGGACAAAGGATATAGGTAAAATAAATAATAATTGGGGCTAGAAGGCAGGGGGAACTGTGGAGTCTCTGAGAAGCTGGCCCAGCCACGGTGCAGGTAGGGGTGACCTCATACCTCGGTTTCCCAGAGCAGAACTCTGGGGATATTAGCTATATATAGGCCTGTCTTAGATAATCTCTGCAGACCTCAGGAGGCCAGATAGGGGTCTCCCTGTGTGGGGGTCTGCAGGACACAGACAGAGCTCTCAGATCAAGGGAGCTCAAGTAGTAACCTGAATTTTTCTGGAACCAAAGATTCCAACAGCCAAAGATATCTTGGCTACAAGCCTGTGTGATTCTCTCTCTTAATCCATTTTTTATTATTGTGGAACAATTTTAGACTTACAGAAAAGTTGCAAAGATAGTGCAGTGTTCCCATAGACCCTTCACCGTGTCTTCTATTGCTAACATCTTACATTTCCATGGTGCATTTGTCACGACTAAGAAAGCAATGTTGGCACACTTACTATGAACTACACTCCAGACTTTATTTGAATTTCACCAGTTTCTCCACTGATGTCTTTTTTTGTGTTTCAGGATCCAATCCATTTATCACTATCTCTTTTTAAAAACATCTTTTTAAATTTTAAAAATAAGACATACTCGAGGCAGAGAAAAGGCAAACAATATACAGATGTACTGAATTTAAAAAAAGTCTCTCTTTCACACAGCCAACCTGTTCTCCAGAGCTATTCAATTAATAGTAGGTTTGGTACATATGCTTGCAGAGCTTTTTTCAGTGAGCGCACATATACATTGTTCCCTCAAAATGAGACAATTTTATGTAGTTTTCCGTAACTTTCTTTCTTCATTTAATACTACATCATGGACAAAACATCACCCTCATTTTTTTTTTTCCCTGCAGAAACAGACATTGTTATATAACACAATTTCACATGAAACTGCAAGGAACATTCCCCTATTTACGTAGCTTTCTGCATTTCTGTGGATATTTCAGTTGACTTGCCAAAGTAATTCTGGGGGGAGAAGGGCATCTATTTAAAAATTTTAAAATAAATCCTGCTAAATAATCCTCTCAAGTGATTGTTTAAATTTATATTCTCACTAATCAGTATTGATGTTACTATTCTCTCTAAACTTCACCTCAACAGCATTAGATATTATAATGTTGTAAATATATTCTTTATGAAAATGCTCCCCCATCTGCTAGGCCACAATGGAATCTTGCTGGCAGTTTTGAGTTTAGATGATTTAGTAAGGTTGGGTATCTTTGCACATATTTACTGGGCACTTGTATCTTTCAAATTCTTGATCCATCTTAATTGATGGATGCAAACTTTTAAAATTCTACTTATATATTATGACTTTTATTTATCTTATATATTTTGATTTCTCTTTTATATGATATAGTTGTTGCTAATCTTTTCTCCTAGTGTCTGGTGACTTTTTCTCATTTAACTTTGGTTTGTGGTATCCATTTTGGTATAGAAGTGATTCATTTTATGTAATCAAATATGTTAATATTTTCCTTTAAGGATACTGGATGTCATGTTATGCTTGGGCAAATCTCTCCCCCACCCAATGATTCAAAAATAAACAAAACTTTAATCAAAACTTTAATACTTTCCTGGGACTTGTATAGTTTCTTTCTTTTTCTTTTCTTTTTTCTTTTGTTTTGTTTTGTTTTGTTTTGTTTTTTTTGAGACAGGGTATGTCTGTTACCCAGGTTGGAGTTCAGTGGTGCAATCATAGCTCACTACAACCTTCTGAGTAGCTGAGACCACAGGTACATGCCGCCATGTTTGACTAATTTTATTTTTTGTAGGGATGGGGTTTCTCTATGTTGCTCAGGTTGCTCTTGAATGCTGGGATTCAAGCAATCCTCCTGCCTCAGCCTCCAAAAGTCCTGGGATTACAGGTGTGAGCCACTGCGCCTGGCTAGTTTCATTTTTTGAGGCTAATAAGTTCATTGTTCTTCCAAATTGACACTCAATTGTCCCAACACCTATCTAAAGTAGCCTTTTCCACACTTTGCCTACCAAAACATCTGTTTACTCCCTCCGTAGCATCTACCAGTCTATCTTTAGTGTACTTATTTGTAGACCATGCTTCTCCCTAACTAGATCATAATTTTCATGAGTGTGGAACCAGGCCTTGCTTGCCTAGGATGTGTCTGACATTTTGGATGGTGCCCATGATGCCCATGGATGATGACACGCTCACAGCTGAAGAATCCTGATTCTTCCTACTGGTTTGAAATGCCCCCTTGGTTGTGGGCTGTTTCTGGACTCTTCTCTCAATTCCAGTGGTCTCTCCTTTCCCTATACTAGAATCTACTTGTGGTACCAGGAATACAGCTACTCAGCTTACTTGGGTTTCCATATTCTCAAATTTTGATTTTTTTACCTAAAACTTACTAATTCCCCAAATTTACTCTTTTAGATGAACTTTATGGTTACCAAGTCCCAAAAAATGTGATTGAGATTTTGATTGGAATTATACACACATTGATTAATTTGGAGATAACTGATATCTTTGTGTTACTAATTTTCCCCTGACAGGAACATTGTAGATAACTTAGTTTACGTACTTTGCAAAGTTTTATGTTTTTCATCTTTGTTATGGTTTTCTTCTTTGCACACCTCTTGTTAAATTTCCTCTTTGACAGTCCATAAGTTTATGGTTTTGGTTCTATTGTGAATGAGATTTAATGTTTAGTTACGTTTTCTAGTTATTTATTGTCAGATATATATGTGTATATATATATGTGTGTGTGTGTGTTTCTTACTTTCAGTCACTAGTTAGTACTCTTAGAAACCAAGAGAATCTCTTGGATTTCCTAGGTGGAATCTTTTATAGATATAGGAAAGGATTCCTCAAAACCCGGACCTGTGTGAGGCTAGGGCCCCACATTTGATAGAAAAGAGGGAGAAGGAGATCCCTAGGACAGAGCACAAACATGCATACTCACTGCTGTGCCAGGCTGCCCCCTGTCTTCTCTGCTTTCTCTGCAGTGATCAATGCACTGTGAAATCGGCAGCCAAGAGGAGACCAAGTGCCAGCCGTGTGGTGTGGCTGTACGTGCTCTCAGAAAAGAGGTTGCTGTGGGCCACACTCATCAGGGAAGGCAAAAGGAAATGAGACCTGAAGTTTGGGTGGCGTGAAAGGAGAGTGCTTTCTTTGGATTTAATAACATGAGATAAGATCCGGAGGCAGAAGGTGAAGCTGTCCGGGAAGAAAGGCAACTCCATACTTGAGTTCAGGTGGTATCAGGATGCCATAGAGAATACAGCTGGATTGTGAGAGGGAAGAGAACGAGAGTCTCAAAATTAGCTATGGGAGTTTGGGCTTTATCGTGCTCTAGTTAGAGACTGACTCTAGAGGCCATGTGAAATCCTGAGGGTGAACAACTGAATGAATGAGTGAGTGAATCAATGAATGAATAAATGAAACCCCAGTCTGACAGGAAGCTGAGAAAAGCAAGAATATGGGGACTAAATAGACATGAAAGAAAATGTGTTTCCATAACAACCACTGTGTATAAGGCACTTTCACATTAGCCCATGGAGTCCATGCAAGCATCTTTATTTTGTAGGTAGGACTAGTCTCATCTTTAACAATGAGAATCCTAAGGCTCTGAGAGGGTGGGTAACTTGCCCAAGGTCATGGGCTGGTTAGACAGTAAGCTGGAATTGCTATTATTTAATACTAATCCAGGTCAGACCTTAGTGCTTCTACTCTTTCTCCTGACAATGCTGCCCACATCTCTAGGAGGAAGAGGTTGTGGTTGAGAGCTAGGCAGGGGCTGGAGAGGCTCTATCAGTCATCAACAGTTTACATGTGAGTCATACATAAGCTGATATGAATTAAAAATGCCAGTTCATTGCATTCGGCTTAGCTGATCTGATAAACAGACAAAGTGAAAGGCTTGGCACTGATGTTGTGGAGAGGAGTGCAGAAGAGGGGAGGAGGAGGCGGGGTTCTCTGTGTGCACAAACAATGCAAGTTGGCAACGGAAAGGACAGAGGCTCAAGTTCAAGCCCCTTTCGGCACTCGTTCACTTAAGCTCCTCCCATATGCGGGGTGCTGCAGTATAACAGTGAAGATGACAGACAGGGTGCCATTCCCCGGGAGCTTCTGGAGATGGGCAATAACCCCCCAGACACAAACTCACTCAAAAATTATCAGCTGTGTCCAGCACAGGGCAGGACATGGCAGAGTGCTGAGGCAGAGTATCCACTTCAGACAGAGTGGCCGGAGAAGACCTTCTAAGGAGGTGGCATTTAAGCAAGATGCCAAGCCATGTGGACAGCAGGCGGGGCGAGAGGTGGGAGGAAGCCTGTGGTGAATAAAGGACAGTATGTGCAAAGGCCCCAATGGAAAGGCCATGGAGGCTGACGCTGGGCCAGGAGAGGCAGGCAGGGTCAGGGCTGGCGGGACTCTGTGGTGGGGGGAAGATGTTCGGCGTGCACTATAGGAGCTGAGGGAAGTCACTGGTATATTTTAAGCTGAGATCTGACAGGTTCCGATTTACATTTTAAGATCACTCTTGGTGCCTGGGTAAGAAAAGATTGACAAGGGCAAGAGTGGATGCAGGGAAATTAGCTAGGGGCTGCC